TTCAAAGGTGAGTGGAGGGCGGAGTTTGGTAGATGCCATGAGTGGCATGGCGGAGATGATGCGTGACGGTGGAAGAAGTGGAAGGGGTGAAGGGGGTTCTGTGGTTGGGTGGGTGGGGGCCTCCGTCCTCTACAAACTCTTCCAAAGTAGCCCACCTTCTTAGATAGGTGGCACGTAGCGTTGAAGGCGGGACAGCGTTGGCGACCCCCTTGATGGAGGCCGGAACCACAGCCAGGGCAGGACCTACTCGGGTGGGGTCTTGGAGTGGTGGGTTGTCTCCGGAGGGTTTGGACGTTCGTGTGCTCGCGTGGGGTGTTGGTCATCTCTGCTCGCTGTTTTTTAGCGGCCTCCTGAGCGCGACAAGTGTTGATGGCTTTGCCCAGAGTGAGGTCGTTCTCTTGAAGGAGGTGTTCGATGGTGTCTCCGTCTTTCTATGATCTGATCCCTAATGTTCTTTTGGGTGCACTTTTCCGAGCAGAACTTGCAGGTCTTAGCCAAGACTGACGAGGAAGTTGTCGAAGGTTTCTCCGGGCTGCTGTACGCGGCGGCGGAACGTGCGTCTCTCCACGGACTCGTTGATGTGGCCCTCCACGTAACGTTGAATTGCCGCGACGATCTCTGCCACGTTGCCTCGTTGGTCATCACTGAGGCCAAGGTTCTCGACGATTGTCACAGTTTCGCAGTTTCGCGAGAGAGACAGACGGTTAGTGCTCGTACCTGTTTGGCGGCCCCTTGTGTGCCGAGGCCCGAGAGGCTGAGGTAAGCCTCCCATTGTGACTTCCATGCCTTGAAGTCAGCTCCCCTGTCGACTTGTAGGTCGAGTTTAGGCAGGTCTCCGGGTCGAAACGCGTAGGACATGGTCGGATCCGGGCGATGGGATGCGCTTTTCAGTCCATTTTAGCTCGCAGCGCCATGTAACATACTCATCCCAAACATACATGTGGCCAGAGATGATTACATCACAATGGGTAATTTTACGTAAGATAGTAATATAGTCACATCAGAGTCCATGCTTACTCTACAGAGAGTAACAGACACACAAACCCAACTACAGTAACCCTTGCTGCGCATGCGCGACGAGGGTTAACAACATTCTTGTTGTGGAACAAAGACGTAAGATTAACCATATCAATGCCTTTACTACGAAATAGAAAAGCAACTTCCGATTCTTATTGGAAGGATAGAAGTCGTTAGAAGGGTGTCTGAAGATGACTAAGTCTCTAATCACTACTGCTATATGCCCACTTTTCAATGCCCCTTTGCCTATCATATGTGCCCCTATACCCATCCCCCCACCACCCTCCAATAAAGGTTGTAATGGTTTTACATTTTTGGCATGCACGAACTTTCAAACCAACCATCACTAATAATTTTAGTCAAGAAGTGTGGAATTATCTGTAACTTCTAACTGCACCTTTCCCTATCATATGTGCTCCTACGTACCCTTCCCCCCATCACCTTCCAATGAGGGTTGTATCCGTTTTGCGGGCAGGTGAATGAATGAAATAATGAACCAACCATCCTTAATAATTATAGTGTGGAATGGCAGTCTCTGACTTCTCACTGCACCTTTGCCCATTGTACATGTGCCCCCCTACCCTTCCCCCACCACATTCCAATGTGGGTTTTAACGGTTTTGCATTTTTGGGCACGTAAATGAATGATATTATGAACCAACCATCCCGTAATATTTTACTATAGTTAAAGTATGGAATGACACTCACTTCTCACTGCACCTTATCAATCATACATGCTCCCACTACCATTTCCCCACCACCTTCCAATCAGGGTTTTAACAGTGTTTCATTTTTTGGGGGCACGTGAATGATCGAAATTACACACCAACCACACCTAAATATTGTAATAGTGAAGGTGCGGAATGACACTCTCTCACTTCTCACTATACCTTTGCCTATCATGCATGTGTCCCCCTACCCTTCACCCCACCACCTTCCAATCAGGGTCTTAACGGTGTTGCATTTTTTGCGGGCACATGAAAGAACGAAATTACTATGCCTACCAATTTCAGTCAGGTTAAAGTGGAATTACACTCTGTAACTTCTCCCTGCGCCATTACCTATCATGTGTCCCCATAACCTTATTCTACCTTCTAAAAAGGGTTTTAACGGTTTTGCAATTATTGCGCGCATATCAACGAACGAAATTACTAACCTACCATCCATAATTATTTCAGCCAAGTTAAAGTGTGGAATTACACTCTCTCATTTCTGACTTTACCATTGCCTATCATACATGTGTGCCCCTACCTTCCCCCCACTACCTTCCAATGAGGGTTGTAACGGGGGTTTTGCAAACTAAAACCACCATCCCCTATAATTTGAGTCAAGTGAAAGTGTCGAAAAACACTCTCACTTCTCACTTCACCTTTGCCTATCATATGTGCCCTTCCCCCCCCCACCACCTTCCAATAAGGGATGTAATGGTTATGCATTTTTCGCAGGCACGTGAAAGAATGAACTTACTTACCAATTTTAGTCTAGTTAAAATGTAGAATTACACTCTCTAACTTCTAACTGCACCTTTGCCTATCATGGTATTGGTTTTATGGGCACGTGAATGAATGAACCACCCATCCTTAATAATAATAATGAAAGGCACTGAAGTGCAAAACCCTCGGCGTGGAGTCCCACAGTGGGGCCAATACCAAGGCCCCTGCGGCCACACAAGAACACGCGCGCATTCATCACGCACGCGGTTAGTGGCGCATATTATGATAAACACATGCGCATTGTCATGTCTCGCTCTCTCCCGGTCCTCTGCCTCCTCGCTCGCACTAACCGCCGGCTCGCTCACCTCCCGTCGATCGTGCATTGCTCGTGCTGCCTAGCTGGAACCGTAGGCAGCGTTCGGTATTCTGGCTATATCCTCCACAATGTGCCTGACGGCAAAAGCGGTCGAGGTAAGCCATGGTGATGGTACTTATTAGATATTGCCTTTTTCACGCCATAACTTTTGAACGCGGTACTTTTACGAAAATCTCCAGTTTTAAAATGAAGCCAGTGTAGCGCTGAACCCGTTGATGTCGCTTTTTGGCCTGTTTGTTGCACGTGGTGGCAGAAAACGTGGTAACAGACAGACAGACAGACAGACACACAGAACGACTACCGTAACCCTCGCTGCGCATGCGCGCCGCCGAGGGTTAATAATACTCAGATGGCTGCCATAGCACTAGGGCCATAGACCACGCACCCAGAGCAATGGGCGGAACCGTTAACAAACGAACATACATCATATGAACATGAGGTGTGTGTCTCACCTCCCAGACACCTCAACTCACCCCTTCCACCAGTGACACCCTGCAGCTCCCCAGACGAAATCTGAGACTGACCCATCCTTAATAATTGCACTATAGTTAAAGTCACTCTCTCACTCTCTCTGCTCCTTATATATCATACATGTGTTCCCCCCACCACCTTCTAATAAGGGTTTTAACGGCTCAGCAATGCTGGCCTTTGCTTAAATGTGAACAAGTCTAAAGTTGTTGTCTCCTCTCGCAAGAATATGCGTCCTGCTGTTGTTGTTGCTGTCGACTCTACTATTATACCGAATGTTGATTTCCTTAGAGTCACCGTCTCAAGTGACCTCAAGTGGAACACTCACATCACCAACGTTTGTGCTTTGGGCAGGCAACAACTAGGCATCATTCACAGGACTTTCAACCAAGCCAACTCCCCTACCCTACTCCACCTTTACCGTGTCTTTGTGTTACCTACTCTGGACTACTGTAGCTCTGTTTGGGATCCCCATTCTAGTTTACTTGTCAACAAACTTGAATCTGTTCAGCGGCTGGCTGCCAGAATTATCACCAATCGTTGGTTTACCCCTCATTGTTCAACTCACCCTATCACTCCCATCATACAAACACGTTATACGATGGCTTTGCTTGTGGTTTACTGGTTGCACACTCGTGGCTTCAGTTTTGATAGACCACTCAGGCTGCTCCCTCGTGCCCTATCAAAACTGCCCACTCGTGTAAAACCAGTAAACCACGCGCCGCCATCGTATAACCTATACTGAAAAATAGCAAATCCAAATATACCCACACGCCATACTCAAATGAAAAGACTGTATATACCCAAAAAGCACTACAGTGTAAACCCTCGGCGAACTGTGCTAATCGATAGGCTGGGCTTTTAGTATGCGTTAACTCGTGGTCTCCCGCTAGTAGCTCACAGAGTCTGACACGGGCTAGCTACAGCATGCGAGAGTCGATATACGTCGTTGCGACTGCTTGTGCCTTTAAGAGTCGTGCCTAAAAAATACAGGGATAATGATTCTCCCGCCGGAAATGAGGAACCTGTTACTAGTTACGAAGCCACTTGATTATACCCCAATGTTCACTAGTTCCTGTTGGAAAGCGGTTTTGCAGGCACATGAAAGAATGATAATACACACCAACCACCCCTAAATATTTTACAATAGTTAAGGTGCAGAATGACACTCTCTGACTTCCCACTATACCTTTGCCTATCATGTATGTGTCCACCTACCCTTCCGTCCACCACATTCCAATCAGGGTCTTAACGGTGTTACCTTATTTTGCTTTTGCGAGCACATGAACGAACCAATTTACTAGCCAGCCTTGCCTTCAAGTCAGGTTAAAGTGTGGAATTATACTCTGTTACTTCTCACTGAACCTTTACCTATCCCCATACCCTTCCCCCACCTTCCGGTATTGATTTTGCATTTTTTGTGGGTGAATGGATGAAAATAATGAACCAACCACATTTTAAAAAAGGCGATTTTCGTATAACTACTGCGTTCAAAAGTTATGGCGTGAAAAGCAAGTGAACATGGATCAACTGGAGTGTACGGACCGACGCGTAGCGACTTCCGGCCAAGCCCAAAATCACTCCACGCGATGCGCGCTTACTAATTAAGGCAACGCCCACTCATTCAAGCGCACTCTCCGTACTACCGTGTGCATGCGCAACGTGTACCGTGCAAAGAACTTGCAGAGCAGCCAATGGGGGAACGGGCGGCACATACACAAAGAGAATCAATTCCCGCGCAAAAAAAGAGGGGCACAGTGAAAATGGAGTGCACTCGCGTTAGCTGCAGTGATTGGTCCAGAGGTAGAGAAACAGGTTATTTGGTTGCAGAGCAAGGGCCTACTCAGCCGGAACAAGACGCAACCAACAGATGGACATGCAGCACAGAAGAGACATCACTGACAAGTACAGATGGAGGTGCCCTGACTCGTCCTGCAAAAAGAGTGTCTCATTACGCTCTGGGACATTCTTTGAGCAGTCACGCTTGAAGCTCCAGCAGTGGATAGTACTCATGAACTGGTGGGCTCGAGAGTATCCAGTGAAAGATGCAGCAGAGGAAGCAGAGGTCGACGAGAAGACTGCAATACAGATATATCCGTATTGCCGCGACATCTGCAGCTGGAGACTTCTCAACCATGACTCTCCATTGATGCTGGGAGTAGTTGTGCAGATCGATGAGAGTCTCTTTCGCCACAAGCCCAAGCATCACAGAGGACGAGCTACCACCAACGAGGTCAGGGTGTTTGGGCTCTGCGATACCTCTCACTCTCCAGCACTGGGGGTCATGTGCATTGTCCCAGACCGTACTGCACAAACTCTTCTCCCTGTCATCAGACGCCACGTCAGGCCAGGGACCGAGGTCCACAGCGACCAGTGGGCAGCCTACAACAGGGTCCAGCAGCTGCAGCCGGTCAACAACCACCAGCAACAGGGGTCCACACACAAAACATAGAATCCTATTGGAATCATGTGAAGAGGAGGTTCAAACATATGAAGGGGGTTCACCAGACTATAGACTATGCTGAACTCGTACCTCGGCGAGTTCATGTGGAGGGAGCGGCATGGCCTCAGTGCAGCAACAGCACTTGCGAGTCTCTGCCGCGACATTGCCCTGAGGTACCCCCAGTAGACCCTGACCTGTCCGGCACTGTTTCAAACAGCTTTTCTCAAAGCTACCACAAACGCAAGAGATACACCATCTGGAGTCACCCTGTGGAGTTATCGGCCGGTCGCGTCAGCACACAGAGTCATGGAGATACACACACGAGAGTGGGCTTGAATGAGTGGGCGTTGCCTTAATAGTAAGCGCGCATCGCGTGGAGTGATTTTGGGCTTGGCCGGAAGTCGCTACGCGTCGGGTCCGTACACTCCAGTTGATCCACATATCAACTCCGGCATGCTATCTACTACCGTAGCTAGCCCGTTCCAGACTCTCCGCGAGCTAATAGCGAGTAAAAGCACAAAAAGCCCAGCCCTTCAATTATTGGTACCACGCATGCGCAGTTCGCCGAGGGTGTGCACAGTATAGGTATAGTGTGTCTCTGCGACTTCTCACTGCACCTTTGCCCATCATACATGTGCACCCCTACCCTTCCAATGTGGGTTTTGACGGTTTTGCTATCCACCTTCTTCGCTCCGGTGTGTCTCTCTAATGTGTAATGTATTTTAAGAGTCAGCGTTGGACTGCGTGTATCGAGGCGGCGTCGTGACATTTGGCGGCATCGGTGGGATAGGACGTCGTAAGTCGATCGGCGGGACCTACCAGAGATGACGACGAGGTCTGGGGCGACGTACAAGCCTGCGATTGAGGGAGGAAGAGAGAAGGGAGCTGCGGGTGAAGGCGCAGCACGTACGGAAGCGACACGTGCTGAGTCGGCGCCACTGACCGACTTCGTGCGACTGCTCATGAAGGACCGTCGGCGGAGAGACGAAGAGCTGGCGGAGGAGCAGAGACAGTGGGAGCTCGAGGCGAGCCGACACTGAGAGACATGATCAGGCGGTTGGTTGAGACGTCGAGCCCATCTTTACGGATAAGCACCCCGCGGCAGAAGTGGTAGCGGTTATCACTGGAGGGGAAGGAACTACTGCTACAGGAACAGTTGGCAGCAGCCTTTCCATACTCCAACGCCAGGATGATTAGTTGGCCCCAATCATCCAGTTCCTACAAACTGGAGATCTCCCTGAAGAAGATAAATTAGCCCGGAAGATAGCTCTCACCAGCTCCCAGTACGCCCTCCTGGAGGCAGTTCTGTACCGAGTAGAACCAGATGCCACCCTCCGAATTGTTCCCCCTCAGTCACTCCGACAACAACTCCTAGCCGAGTTTCACGGAGGACGTTTCGGTGCCCATTTGAGTGATGTAAAAGTGTACAGTGCACTCCGAAGACATTACTGGTGGGCCGGTATGAGGCACACCAAAAACCAAAAATAAACAAAAAAAAAAGGTGGGGGGGAGGGGGGGGGGGGGGGGGGGGGGGGGGGGGGGGGGTGGGGGGGGGGGGGGGGGGGGGGGGGGGGGGGGGGGGGGGGGGGGGGGGGGGGGGGGGGGGGGGGTGGGGGGGGGGGGGGGGGGGGGGAAAAAAAATGGGGGGGAGGGGGGGGGGGGGGGGGGGGGGGGGTGGGGGGGGGGGGTTTGTGGGGTTGGGGGGGCGCGGGGGTGGGTGGGTAGGGGGGGGGGTGGGGGGGGGGGGGGGGTGGGGGGGGGGGGGGGGGGGGGGGGGGGGGGGTGGGGTGGGGGTGGGGGTGGGGGGGGGGGGGGTGGGCGGGGGAAAACAAACAAAAAAAAAAAAAAAACAAACAAACAAAAAAAAAAAGAAAAAATAGCAACAAAACACAAAACAAAACAAACAAAAAACAAACCAAAAAAGCAACCACAAAAAAAAACACAAAAAAACTCAGTGGACTCAGAGCATGTCTGCCATCAGCCTGAATAAAGGTGATGAAAACCCGCCGCTCACCCTGTGATACCTGCCTGCGACCGTAGTGGTGTGGACCTAACTACAGCTACCCAAAACAGTCGCGGCAACCGCTCTAGCAGTAGTCTTCGGTGATTATTTGACACACAAAGTAAGTGAGTAAGTAGTTGCCAGAGGTAGGTGTTTGCCGTAGCCGACACCACTCGTCAGTGACTATTGCTACGCTTTTGGTTGAAGAGGTGGTAGCCGACATGGCGGGGTACCCAGTTGGGAAAACGGATTCCGTCAGACGTGGAAGCGCCTAGCTCTGGGCTGAGGAAGGACCCACCCCGGCGGTGGAGACACTGATGGGCTACCACAGCTGAACCACAGCGTACCACCCACAGACAGACGGATTGAGTGGTGGACGATACATACGACCCTGACATCAGGTTAGCTAAAACCGTCTCGAAAAGGGCGGAGCGACCGAGTGGGCAAATGAACACACTGCCATAGGTTCTATTCGCCTACCGCAAGTCAACAAGCTTCCACTCGGAATCCCCATTCTATTTGCTGTAGTGGCGCGACCCTCGCATTGCCGTCAGCAAGGTCACTATGCATCTACATGAGTGATGGTATGGTGTCGACCTCTATACAAAGATGGCTAATGCTGGGAGTCGTTGGCGCGAAGTTCATTGGACTAAGTCCCAGAGGCACCAGAACAGAAACCAATTACGACAAAAACGGGCAACTGACGTGCCTTCAGATCCGGAGAGAGGCGTCTTTCTTACAAGGCTGGCAGAGAAGACTGGACGAGAGCCAGAAAGGTGACTGGCCCGGCCTCCATGGACCATACCGAATCTCAGAAGAATGGATAAAACACCGCCACTATATTTCGCGTTGACAGACCAGAGCAAGAGCCCTTGTTAGTGGCCATAGACAGGCTGTGACACTGTCCCAAGCAGCTTGGTCCAGAGTTTTGGCCTCCGAGCAAACGCCCAGCCAAGAAGACTAAGGATACAGGAGGTCCTTCAGCTCAGTCTGAAAAGGAGGAGACAGAGACAGTGTACACCGCAAACCGCAAGAAGTGGGAATAGAACCATGCCAGATTTGGAACTGCCTACTCACTCCATCGAAGGAGCTAACCAAGATGTACCTACTGAGGCTCCTAACTTACTGAATTCAGCCGGTAACAGTAGTTGTGCATCAACCGAGATTCTTGATGAGGACCAAGGCACATCTTCTTCAGTGCATATTGGTGATGCTGGAGGGACCAAGGACAGTGTGAGAAGTGCACCAAAAGAGAAGCAACCACAAACACCAGGCCCCTCTGGGATCCCGAGTGGGAACAAATGGGCCGGGCGCTTGCGAGAACGAAAACGATACCCCTGCTATACCACAAATTCATCAGGAAACCCTCCTTCTAAAGTAGGGCACTTGATTATCCATCAGTTAGGTGACGGTAGCGGGGAAAACGACAGACAGAAGGACAGACGGACGCAATGACAAACCAAGTACTGCGCATGCGCGCCGAGGGTTAAAAATGAACAATTTTGGTTTTTGCCCGCATATTGTCATTATTGCGCATGCGTGATTAGGCATTCTACAACCTTGGGTTAGAGTTTTGCAACTCTCAATTGTCCACCTGCCTTCATTAGCAGCTACATTGTGCACTATATAGTTCACAATATACCTTGGTATACACAGTATACACACCTGGAGTATACACAGTATACGCGCCAGCATTATAGAATATCCCGCATATTATTGTCTGATGCACCGCGGGTATGATATTAATTAACCGGGACTCGCTGTACTTTACTCCGCAACATAAAACTGGAGCTCGACCGTTCAGCCCATAAGGAGAGTCGGGCCGTGTGCTGCACCGCCTTCTTCGGTTTTTTTTCCGCCTAGGAGAACTACTGCTTACCAAACAGTCCGACTTCCACCCAAGACTCCACCTCTCCTGGGGGGCATGGCCGCGGTACTGACCTACGCAGCGGCCGGGGGGGAACAACGAAACGCCGGACACAGCTTCCGCATTGGTGCAGCGATGTCCGCCGCTATGGCGGGTGTGGAGGACTCCACAATCTAGCTGTTGGGTCGATGGTAAAGCGCAGCATTCCTACGCTATATCCGGATCCCCCATGGGAGGTTGGCGTCCATTTCCTCTACCCTCGCGGCGCAGGCTCGCAGTGACTGAACCACAGCCACAGCTAGATAACACTTATGCTACACTCCCTATTTTACCTCCTTACTTATGAAACAGCTCACAGTCAGTTTAAATCTGTCAGGTGGTTCCTGGCACGAATTGATCTTTAAAGTTCCGTTGGTGGCGTCGACTCTGGTATGTGTGTCCGGGTCTTGTATGTTCTCGTCGGACGTTTGATCGTCTGGTCTTGCAGTCTCTTCTGGTGGACGTGGTCTACATGTGATCTCCACATATCCAGCTTGACCACTCGGTATAACCCTCGCCCTCGGGGCGCATTCGCAGCGAGGGTTACGGCTGTGTGTCTGTCTACGACTATTCTCGCACAACAGGCTAGGAGGCGGCTTATGAGCGATACCAACAGCTTTAGCGGTACATGGGCTAGAAAACTAAAATGGCGATTTTGATGAACGACCGCGTTCGAGAGCGACAAACTGGCACGGTCGGGGACTGGGTTGCGTGGCCCAACCCATCAATAAGCGGTGCGCATGCGTATAATAGACGCAGTAACACCTCGACCTGATCCGCTTGCCCTGTGTACCTTGGCTTGGAGGCACAAGAAGCAACAGCGAAGGGCGTGTATCGACTCCCACATGTTACTACTACCCTAGCTAGCCCGTGTCAGACTCTCCGCGAGCTATATACTAGCGGGAGACCGCGAGTAAACGCAAATAGCTAGCCCAGCCATTAGCGGTACCGCGCATGCGCAGTTCGCCGAGGGTTTGCACTTTAGTGCTCCTGGTGGATCTGACGGCACATGACTCGATATCCCAGCTTGGGTTTAATTTTGTGTTCTGATGTCCTACTAGTCATTTTACGTTTGCGAACTCTGTCCTTGACTGATGGGTAGAGTAAGTCCAGGTGAGTCCTTAGTCTCCTTCCCGTGAGTAACTCCGCTGGAGCAATTCCCGTAGTTGCCTGCTATACTTGAAGAGAAATCGCGTGAGTTTCAACTCTAGTGGTCCTTTCATCGGATCAACTGGAGTGTACGGACCCAGCGCGTAGCGACTTCCGGCGACTCGCAAATCACTCGCAATCGTGCGCGCCTGTCCAAATAAGGCCACGCCCACTCGATGCCGCGTCAGCAAGCCAAGAAAAAGGAAAGATGGCAGGGTCGGCTGTGGGTACATTTGCCCTAGTACGAGAAAGAGCGCCGGCCTACATTCCGCTCTGGTTAGTTCGACTGTGCTCCCCCCCCCACCCCAGCACAACGACAGTTGATCTTCAGTCGAACTAACAGGAGCGGAATGTAGGTCGGCGCTCTTTCTCGTACTAGGGCAAATGGACACTTACTAGGGTAAAGTCGGTGCTGTTACAAACCAAGGCGGCGTTGGTCCAGGGCTAGGTTCAGACTAGCTCAATGTACTTCTCTCGCTACGCTCGGTGACTTCACAGCACAACGACACTGTTCCACGGAGGTCTAAGTCCACGGAAGTCGGGGACATTTTGGGGAACAGTAGGCTGCGTAGACAGCGGAGCCTTCGCGGTCATCCAACCCTGCATGCTTTTTCTTGGCTTGCTGACGCGGCATCGAGTGGGCGTGGCCTTATTTGGACAAGCGCACGCGATTGCGAGTGATTTGCGAGTCGCCGGAAGTCGCTACGCGCTGGGTCCGTACACTCCAGTTGATCCCTTTCATCTTCTTCACCCTCTCTTTGACTGCTCGCTAGAGGACGGGTGGTATGGAGCTGAGCGTACGTGCTCAATATGAATGTGAATGCCGTTCCGTTGTCGGACACAATCGTTTGTGGCACCCCATGTGTCGCGAAGCTTGATCGAAGTTTGCTGATTGCTGCCGTTGTGGATGGTACGATGTGAACATCGATCCACCTGCTGTGCGCGTTCAACAATGATGAACTGTAGTTTCCTTTCTACAGGACCCGCGTGGTGCACGTGTAGTCGGGTCCATGGCTGCTTTGGCCACTCCCAGGTTTGAATCGGTATTCTTGGTGGATTTTATTCTTGCCGATTGGCACAGTAAACATTGACATACTTTGTTCTCCAGGTCCTTGTCGAGGCCTGGCCACCAAACATAGCTCCTAGCGAAGCTTTTCATACCGCTGATACCGGGGTGACTCTCGTGGATCTTGCAAAACGTTTGAGCGTAATTGTCGTGGTACAATGACTCTCGTACCACATAGAAGACACCCATCTGATTTCCTCCCTTCGCTTGTTGTAGGAACAGTTCAGATCCTGCCATCCCTGCAGGGCATACTTGCGGATCTTGGATAGCTCTGGATCTCGGGATGTCCATTCTCGGATGTGTGTAACTGTCACAAGTGACGAATTTAGTCGCTCCATGAGTAAAACTGTTTCGACAGTTGCGGTGTCGAGATGTTCTGGGTAGTTTTCCCATCTGGTCCCCTGGTCGGGGTACAATGGAATACTGGTAGCCACTCAGTGTGAGTGCCCATCTCTGTACCCTAGCTGGCTGAAGTCGTTGGCGATATGTCCTGGATGCGTATCGGATAGGACGTTCGGAGCCGTCTTTCATTCTGTGTGATAGTACTGCACCTAGCCCACACTCTGAGGCGTCACAGTTCAGTACTAACTCTCTGTTGACGTCGTAGGGTACAAGGAGATTCGGGGACATGAGTAGTGTCTTTGCTGCTTCAAATGCCTTTCTCGCGCCACCTCCATTGGACTCCTTTCCTCAGTAACTTGTATATACAACACCATTGAGAGGTTGTGAAGAAACTTCCTATAGAAGTTGATCATTCTGAGGAATGCTTTCAACTTGGAGATGTTGACTGGTGGTGGCATGTCGGTGATTGCTTGGACGCGGTTGTCCATGGGATGCAATCCTTCTCGGTTGATTCGGTGGCCCAAGTATACAACGTCTGGTGCCACATTTTTTTCGTTTCAGGCGTACTCCGGCTGTCTCTAGTCTTGAGAGCACTTCGTCCAATGTTGCTAGGTGTTCTTCATCCGACTCCCCCGTGATGAGTATATCGATATATGACCACATGTTTGAGACCCTGAAGCAAGTTGTCCATGGTTCACTAGAAAATTGCAGGGGCAGAGGTGGTGCCGAAGGGCATCCTTGTGTACTCATACAACCCTTGATTACCAGATAATCTCTGGCCTTGTCATCGAGTTGTAGGTAAGCGTGTGATAGATCCAATTTTGTGTAGGAAATTCCTCCTGCCATCGCCGTGAATAAGTCTTCGCTCCTGGGAATTGGGTGAGTGTCACACACCATTGCTTTGTTCATGGTAACCTTGTAGTCCCCACATATTCTAGTTGAGCCATCTGCCTTGGGAACTGCAACTATTGGTGCAGCCCACCCAGCGAAGTCTCTTGGGCGGATGATTCCTTCTTTCTTGAGCCGTTCCAGCTCTTCTTCAATTTTTTGCCGCATAGAGAAAGGGACTGGTTGTGGAGGGTGGAATTCAGGAAGGGCCTGTGTATTAGTTCCTAACTCATCTCGGAACATAGCGTTGTGCTTGTCAAGCACTGCAGCGAGGGTGTCTGTTTCTTCGACTTTTTATGTCCCTCTCCAATCAATCCTCAGTTCCCCCAACCAGTTCCTGCCAAGTAGGCTTGGTCCCTCACCTCAAGTGATGATCAGTGGGAGTTGTTTGCTTTGTCAATTGTGTTGGATGTTTACCTCTGCCATGCCTTTTACTGGTATTTCGTCTCCTGCGTACATAATTTTTGACATTTCACTCGCGAGGTGGTGTGGCTTGGTCTCTGTACGTTGCTATATGTGGCTTCACTGATGACTGTGAAAGAAGCACCACTACCTCTTTTATCGTGAGTGTGACTTAGATCGGATCATAGTGTTCCTTACGTGGTGGAAACATTGTGTACTATCCCTGGGTTATGTTCTGGTGCCTCTTAACTGGTCATGGACTGAGTATTTGCTGTTTGTCTTGTTTCTACACACCCTGGCCAGATGGCCTTTCTTGCCATAGGCATGACTACAAATTGTGTCCTTGTGTCTACAAACACCCACCCCACACCAGTAACAGTTTTGATGGACCTTGGTGCCTTGCGTTTGTTCTCACCGCCACTTGTCTTATGGACCTCCTCCTCGGTCTGTTGAGGCGCTGCCTTGTCCCGCTGACCTGTCTGCAGGTGTTGAGCATCTTCGTTGGCCATCTCCATCGACTGGGCTATATATCTTTAGCGCTTTGGCGAAGCCCATGTTGGGTTCTGACAGTAGCCGTCATTGTATAGTGACATGGTTGATGCCGCAGGTAATTCTGTCGTGGAGCATGTCGTCTAGCGCATCCCTGTACTTGCAGTTAATCGCCAATGTGTCAATGCCGCTACAAATTCTGCGACCGTTTGTCCTGACTGTCGTACCCTCGAATTGAGCTTTACAGCCACTCCACGTTTCGGGTCGTAATGTGATTGGATAAGCTTGATGCAGGTGAGCTCCGTTGGCTTCCTTGGTGCCGCCAAGTCACGGGTCTTCCGGTACTGAACCCGTTGGTATCGCTGTTTTGTCTCCTTGCGCGTAGTCGTAGAAAATGTGGTAACAGACAAACGGAGAGACAGACACACATTACGAGATTCTCTGATCAACTACTTGTGGGTGCATCACTTGTCGACGTTCTACGGCCAGACAAAACAACTCTTAATGCATATTGTAGACTCGGCGTTTGATCAGTGGACTATTTATCCTGACCAGTTTCCAAACCAACACTTGTGAAAGCCTACATCTGTATCTTGATCATCATAGGTGGTTGCCACATCTGGAGGCAGTCTCAGTCACAGACACGTTGATTTCCATCAGAGGTATGGCCTCCTGATCATGGCACAAACACTTTCCGTGCTGTGTGAGAAATCAACATACTCCTCACTTTGGTGGATTGAGGGAGGCAGTAGGAAGACACAACTGAGACGGGCGATTGGATCACGTTTGAAAAGTTCAGCTCTCTCAAATCAAGGCCTATCTAAACAGTCAACTATGGGACAACTTCACTGTGACCATGACACAATTGAGCCTCTCACTCCTGGTAATTTCCTCATTGGATTCTGATTCTTCCACATCGCTATCTCTCTGAGTAGGAAGGGTACTGACACACTACTTAAGATTGCAACACAAAGCAGTCAAGGTTTTAGGATAACCTGAAGGGGACTCTACTTAAGATGGGGGGGACCAAGCCAGGAAAAAGCTAGCATTGACAGCTTTCTTCACCAGGTTATTTCTGAATAATTATTCCACACATCTCGCTCGATCCCAATCTCACACCTGGTAGGCTGAAAGAATGGTGAAGATTGCGTAGTCAGAAAGAGAGGAAGGAAGGTAGAAAGAATGAAAAATGCTCAATCGAACCCACAATTTCTTGCCTTCATTACCACTGTGCTATGGGAGAGCTACAGATGGTAGGCAGCAGAAGTGAGCTCTTATCCAACGTGAGAGAGTACTCTGACACCTAAGCAGGCGAGCCTTACAACGTCGTTCATACAGCATGAGCCTTTTTACAATTGGTAAGTGTCTCATGTATAAGACAAATTTAACAAAATTCAAGTTCAGTTTAAGCATGCAAAGCAATTACGTATCTGTGCTAACTACATGTACCTACACCCTTTAATCAGAGGGAGCCAGCAACTGTGTGCAGAGCTGCTCCAGAAGTTCTAGCATGACTTCCTTCTGCTCGGACTGGCTATCCCTTCTAAATGAACTCTGACTCAGTTGATTTGTCCTCAATTCCAGTTCACTCTCCATATCTGCCTGTTTGGCGATCAGATCTTGCAAGATATCAGCATTCTGAAAGAAACGATTATGAAATTATCAATTGAGCTAAAAATTATTATACCTCTCTCTCTCGGTCTGCAATGTAGTCATGGTATTGTGCACGTGTATCTTGCAGCATTTGTGTTAGATGAAAGTTTCGTTGCCTCAGTGCCCTCACTTCCTCTTCATGTTCCACTAGCCATTGCTTTCCTGCATTTGCCACTCAGCCTGAATTTCCCCCATATTTATCTCAACCTCCTGACGTAAACTCTGCTCTTTTGATATCTGCCAGTGAAAGGATATTGTAATTTGTACCACAGAAGCCCTAGAAATCAAAGGCACCGCACACAGTGTATGCGCACTAAGACAACTTATTAGTAAGCATGCCATGGTGTATGGTGTGCTGACTCAGCCATACACTCACATGTGGTGTATGAGCTCTCATACACCATGGCATGCATACTAATAAGTTGTCTTAGTGCGCATTCCTGTGGTACAAATTGGTTACACTACACCCACTCGACGGTTTAGTGCATACACTACTCGTGCTGTGCACTCGTAGTGTATGTCCACTAAACCGTCTCGTGGGCATAGTGTAACCTATATTTGTGAGCAGAATTGAGCTGACCTAGTGGTCAGAATGGCGATTATAATATATATATGGATCACACAGGTTATCCTGCATTATGCCCATACATTTGAGATCAGTGTCATTCAGATCCCATCGTTGTACTCAAGAAATGGCATAAATCGCATGAATTTATTAAACAAAGTTTTTCTTGTTGTTCAGTTTAATTTAAATCATGCAAATTTAAATCATGCAACTGATATGTCGATGGGCGGACACATATAAAAAAATGTCTGGACTCCAAATTTGGAGTACGCGCAATGTCTGGGAAGGTGCCAGTCAAGTCAAGCCCGTTGTCGACGTCTTCCCTCGACCTCTGGCTCGACTTCCCAGTAAGAAAGCATAGCTCATTCACCATTTTAGCTGCACCCGAATTTGAATTGCGCGCACGTGTTGCCATACCTCTATACTAGTTAGATGCCTCGTTCATGGAAACTACACGCATTAGTAGAGCACCTTGGGGGCCCTTTGTAGCCGACAGCTCAGGGCCCCAGCTGCTCTCCAATCGGCATAGTTTCCTGGACTCGGCATCCAACTTTTATTTGGACAAGTGTATCTCAGAACCCATATAAGATACGGAGATGAAACTTATGTAAACAGCTGCAGGCAATAAAAAACTTGTAAATGATGTTTGTCCCTATAACTTGCTTATGGTGGGTCTTGTAAAAATGAAACTTGGTACACAGATGTACCATAATAAGACTGAGAAATTACAATGAAAAACCACTGAAGTGCAAACCCTCGGCGAACTGCGGTACCACTAAATTGATGGGCTGAGCTATTAGTATGCGCTTATTTGTAGTCCTCGCGGAGAGCCTGACACGGGCTGTTACAGCAGTAGATAGCATGTGGGAGTCGATACATACCCTTCGTTGTGACTACTTGTGCCTGCAAGATACACAGAGAAAGCGGACCCACACGAGGTTAGCCTGTTGTAATTAGCACATTGGCCATTTCGCTCGTGTTTCACACCATAACTCTCGAACACAGAAGTTTCAGAGAAAATCCTACATATTTTCGACTTTTATCTGACGCTGAATACGCCAAAAATAAGTTCCCACTACTGTACCGTAGTACCGTAGTAAGAGCTACGGTCTTGTTACTCTGCTGCTACACCGTAGCAACGCCGTACTATGGTGGAAGCCGTAGACCTGCTACGGCGCAGTACACCACAGTTTACGAAGACCCAGTTACAGTCCTGTACTAAGCAGCGTGGCCACACGCAGATTTAGCTAGCCACGGCGTTCACACAGCGACAGTGCCGACGGCGAGGCGATCGATGGGCTGCTCTTGCCATGTTGATGCACTGCTTGGTGGGCACAGTCGCACGCGCGCATGTCGCGTCTTCAGTGGGCGCAAGGAGAGCGAGAAGCGATAGCAAGCAGCAGTAGACACGACTGCGCTACAACGCTATATGTAAGAGATAATGTGCGTTTTGAGTTCTATACGTGATTTATGGGAATGAGGGGTGTGGTCGAGAGACTCATACAGCACGAGGCGCAGCGGAGTGCTGTATGGATCTCGAGACCACAACCAGAGTTACCATAAAGTCATGTATAGAACGATAGGACGCACATTATGTGTTTCATTGTGACTCTGTAGCAGTCGTCGACCTCTAGCGAGAGAAATACGACTGCGTAGCCTATATACTACCCATGCGCATGTGCGCACTCGCTGGCTTCTCGAGCGAGTTCTCTGTTCTCGAGGCTACGGTAATCGAACAAGGTCGTGATGGTGGCTCTTTCTCCCTCAGAGAAACTCGTTTCATAGGTCGCTGGGCAGTTTGACCGGTTGGTGTGCCGTGGCCGCGGTCTCTCTTGCCACTGGGAGCTGAATGAAGGGGTGTGGTCGCCTCAGCGATCCCTCGCCTCTACAGACTCTACAGAACTGTCATCCCTCGCCTCTAAAGCCTCTACAGAACAGTTTTTGTCTACACTATGGGTATATACGATGCTCATGCTAGTTCAATGAAAAGCACGTAAGTGCAAACCGCACTGTGACGCGCACGCGTAAGTAAACGCATGCGTCGTACCACTAATTGGTGGGCTGGGTTTAGTTTTAGCTGTTACTCGATCGTTGTCTCTTGCCAGCTCGCGCAGAGTCTGACGCGGGCTAACTACACTACTAGATAGCATGCGAGAGGCGATACACGCCCTGCGTTGCATCTTCTGGTGCCTCCGAGAAAGGGAGACAAGATAGGGATGGGATACATGAAGCATGGTTTATGAACAGATTTGAGCATGCTGACACCCCGACCCCATCACGCAATCCCTATATTGTTGCGTAGGTGAACGTTCAACATTACACAGTAGTCAGGACTTACAGCTTGAAAATACCAAAAAAAGTCATGCTACTGAGTAACCAAGAGTACAAATGGAGTTTTTCAAGCTGTAAGTCCTGGCTATTGTGTAATGTTGAATGTTTAATACTTCACCTAGGCAACAATGTAGGGATTCCGTGATGGGGTCGGGGTGTCAGCATGCTCAAATCTGTTCATAAACCATGCTTCATGTATCCCATCCCTATCTTGTCTCCCTTTCTTTTTATACCATCCCTATATGCAAAATTCGCAGGATTTTTAATTTACATGTATACTAAGTACTACTGTACTTAGTGATTATGCTTATGTTGAGTCCTCAAGAATGAACTTGGTACACAGTAACACTTATGTACTACAGTGAAAGAAGCATGTGAACGATAAACAGGCTGAAGAAATAAACACTAAAGGCCACTAATAGTAACTTTCAATAAATATATATATATGTTGGGGACCAATTAAAAACCCGGCCCGTTTTAAAACGGGCCAGACGGCTTCAATTCCGGCCCGACGGTTTTCAAGCCGCCCCGACGGTAAGCCAGACTGTTTTAAGCAGACGCTCAGGATGACCATGTCGTTCATTACCGTGCGCAACGCATGGCTGTTCCAGCCAAGGCGAGCACGGTCCGTGCATGCGGGGCCGGCAGCAGTGTCCTACCGTGCCAGAAGCTGTTCCAGCCACCGGCCTTGCGAGCACGGGTCCGTGCATGAATAAAACTGGGCCGGCAGCAGTGTTCTACTGTGCCAGCAGCTGTTGTTCCAGCCAGCGGCCTTGAGAGCGCTGTCGTCTACTGCGCTCAGCGGTGGCAGAGAAAACGAGGACGGGCTGTGCGGGTGATCGCGGGAGCTGAGTCAAGTACCGCCGTGCCGCGCACACGTGCGCGATCGATCTTGCGCGCATGGCCGTGACAGCTAGCCCTGGGCGGTACGAGTGTCAAAGTTCGCGACCGACTGCTGAGGTAGATCACTAAATCAGGGCTGGACAGTAGCGACTGGTAGATAGGTTGCTTCTTCCTGACGGCCTTCAATGGAGCTGGACAGTTTTCAAGCCGTCTGGACGGCTTCTAGACGGCTTTAAACTGGTCTGGAGGATTTAAAACCGGCTGGCCCGTTTTAAAACCATCTGGACGGCTTTAAAACGGGCTTCTGGTTTTTAATCGGTCCCCAACATATATATATATATATATATATATATATGTTGGGGAGCAATTAAAAACCCGGCCCGTTTTAAAGCCGTCCGACGGCTTTAAAACGGGCCGGACCGCTTTAATTCCGGCCCGACGGTAAGCCCGACGGTAAGCCAGACAGTTTTTAAGCAGACGCTCAGGATGACCATGTCGTTCATTACCGCATCGTTCATTACCGCACAACGGCTGTTCCCAGCCGTTGGCGAGCAAGGTCCGTGCATGTGGGGCCGGCATCAGTGTCCTACCGTGCCAGAAGCTGTTCCAGCCACCGGCCTTGCGAGCACTGGTCCGTGCATGAATAAAACTGGGCCGGCAGCAATGTTCTACCGTGCAAGCAGCTGTTGTTCCAGCCAGCGGCCTTGCAAGCGCTGTCGTCTACTGCGCCCAGCCGCGGCAGAGAAAAGAGGACGGGCTGGGCGTGGGCAGGTTATCACGGGCCAGGATCCGGGAGCTGAGCATGAGTCACTTACCGCCGCGTGTGCGCGCGATCGATCTTGCGCGCATGTCCGTGACAGCTGACAGCTAGCCCTGGGCGGAATGAGTTCGCGGCCGACTGCTGAGGTAGATCGCAAAATCAGGGCTGGACAGTAGCGACTGCTAGATAGGTTGCTTCTTCCTGACGGCCTTCAATCGAGCTGGACAGTTTTAAAGCCGTCTGGACGGCCTCTAGACGGCTTTAAACTGGTCTGGACGGCTTTAAAACGGGCCTCTGGTTTTTAATCGGTCCCCAACATATATATATATATGTATAGCACACATGCATGTAAGAAAAGGAAAGGAGACAGGTAAATAAGAAAATGGTGAATATAGGGATGGTATAAAGAGCAAGGAGACATGACAGGGATGACCTTGTGTATAATATGATGCAGTAGTACAAAGTATAATAGCTCCACTCCAAACTCACATTGGTTTCTAGCGAAATATTTCCTCTACACAAGCCCTAAAATTTTCACCACTGTTACTCAAGACATGAGTTTTTAAAAGTGAATCATGTAGTGTGAGGACTGGCAAAGGGATTCTGTAGAGGGCTAAGAATGGAGCATTGTCAAACTGGTGAGCATGGCTATGCAGTCACAACTCAATAACTAAGGAGCTGGCAACACCTGTCTCATTCGCATGAGTAATAGCTGCACATTATACGAGGCACCAGCGCGACAATACATGGAGCAAAATATCACAAGCAACCAATGTGAGTTTGAGTATGGAGCTATTATTCGTTGTAATACACACTGGGTCATCCCTGTCTTGTCTCCTTGCATTTTATACCATCCCTATATTCACCATTCTCAATTCAAAGAGTTTGTATACATAGGATAAACCATTCAATGTGCACGCACAGCTGCATCAAAGAGCACATTTTCTGTTTGTCTGGTTTATATGTACATTCCTTTTGCTGTTGAACAGAAAGGGATAGAGCATGTCATGCCCGTTAGACTCCTGAACAGAGCGAGAGACGGAGCTTGCAGAAGGCAACTTCTTTGTTTCTGAGACGGCCGAGAAGAGAGAGAAACACGCCCTTCCCGACGCTGTATTTAATATCAGGCACTATATGCACCCCAAACCTCGCAAGCTACACAGGCACATTTTCGGATTGCTATGCAACAGGCACAATGTCAGAACAGAGAGAGATTCCATGTTGGGGTTTTCGAAATGTCAAAGTTCACGCTTGGCTAAACTCATGTTTCAGATGTGATTGTAGGCTTGCTTCCGATCACCAAAAATTCGCCTTCTAGTGTGATGAACACACTCTTGCCGATGAGGCCATGCTTGCATATAAACATTCCCCTGCATTTGCCATGCCAACATCCAAGGCAGGTCACTTCCCACAGCAAATACCGCTAACTGGGAGATGCTTCTTGCAACTATTGTGTCAAAACTGCACTGGGAAAGGTGCTTGCCTGGCAACAACTTCCCTTTGTAGGGTTTCCTCTCTAGGCTTGGATGTTGGGGCAGCAAAAGGCCCGTCACAGGATTTTGGCCGTAAAATTGCAATGTCAAAAAAGAATTAGGAATACGTTACTCCCATTTTACTAGAATACCTGCTTAAATAGAAGTGCTATTTTATCTTCAGCCCTTGCAGCAAGGTGGTTGTAATCAATTTGATCCATATCTGGTTGAATAAGACCAAGCTGACTGTAAATAGAATGAAGTTGTGCTTTACATCCATCTGCCTGTAATTTTAAGGAGTTGACTTGTTGAGGACGAGCAGAATCCTATAGGTAAAATCAAAACCGTAATTTGTAACACATGTCAGCATTTCATCTCACCTTTCCTTTAGCTGTGGCAAGGGTTTGTTCTTGCTTCTCACCATCTCCTTTTTTAGTTTCTGCATGCAGCACTAACTCTTTTTCCTGTAGAGTTTGTTCCAGGAGAAACACTTGCTGCTCCATCACCATTATTTTCCGCCGAGACCGCCCAAGTTCATTTTTCAGCTCTGCATTCATCTGTACATAAAGATAGCACTAGGGCACACAGATCACCAAGTAAGGAGTTCAAGTAAAATATTAACTTTTAATTTGTGGGTACAAAGTTACCTTTTCCATCTCAGCCTTTTGTTCATGTTGATCTTGGGGGTGCTCGTTTGTTACCATAAAATCATGTTGCAATGCGGTGTCATCATACTGCATCAATACCTCCACAGATTCATATACAGGTATTCTGGGGTTATTATTTATCTCCACTGGGCACCTATGCGCACTGTTCGCAGGAGCCCTCATTTTGATTTCTTCATGCGCTTCACTGAATTGTTCTACTACGGCTTCATTTCCATCTGTAACATCTCTATGAACTTCTGAACCTGAACTAATAGAGACGCTGTCATTTTTCATGTGAACTGGGTACCCTGGTACACTAATATCAGCAGCCTCCATTCGGAAAATTTGCTCGTCAAATTCACTAATCTCCCGCTTTTTGTCAGTGACCAAGTGCTCTAGTTCTTCTTCATGCATTCTTCGTTGTTTATCATTTTCTGACCTGCAGCAAACCTCTGTAACTTGAGATTTATGAAGTTCATCTGAAGTGAAAGTTTCGGCACGAATGATACTTTCTCTGTTTTTCTTCATTCTTTCAATAAAACTAAGAATAGATGCATTTGCATCCTTCAGTTTTTCAGAAAAAGAGTTCAAGCGTGCCTCTGATTTATGCTGAAAATTGTAAAGGTCTCGTTCCAATCCTTTAAGTATAGAATCATTTACACAAACACGATATTCCTCCTCTCTTCTGGCTCGAGCTTGAATCTCTAGATCTTTATGTTCAAGAGTTGCAATCTCCTTTAGTTTCTCTGTACGCTCGCTCTCTAAGTGTTCTTTCAGAGACGTATTGATCTCCAAGAGCTCCTGTACCAATGCTAATTCATTTTTTGTGCCGGAAGAACTGTTTTGTTGAACGAGACACATTTGTAGATCTTCCAGCTGCTCCTTCATCTGTGAGACTATCTCAACGTTGTAGGCGACGTCTGAGTGGAAGGATTGCCTACTTGTTATAACGGGGGTGTGAGGCATTTGCACTTCAAATGAGCAGGTCTCGACTACCCCGGTTTGACCTAGTCTCAGCTCTGACTTTACTATTTGTAACTCACTCTGTAGTTGGTTTATGTGTTCTTTTAAATGTAACTCAAGTTCTTGCTTTTCCTGTTGAATAGAGCTTATCTCATCTTGATATTGTTTTTGCATGTTTTCAAGGTCTTCTATTCGACTCTCTTTAACCTTCACCGCATCTCTCTGCTGAGAGAGCTGAAATAAAAGGTGTTCTGACTGCTTTTCTGCTGTTTCAACTCTCCCCTTCAATTTTTTGAGAGTCAACTGACACGATTTCAGCTCCTGCTGGGTACTTTCAACTTGAATATTACAGCGCATTTTAAATAGAGTTTGCTCTTCTGACATCTTTGTTTTAAAAGTGATAATTTTACGTTCTGCGTCTTTAGTTACCGTTTCAAGCTTATCCTGACAGTCTTGTCTTTCTCTTTCCAAATGAGCTTCATATCTCTCTAGCCCAGTAGTTTGGAGTACCTGCATTCTCTCAATTTCTGCACTTTTAACCTGAATATCCTTCAGCAGGCATTCTTTCTCTTCTTTAAGCCTTGAAAATTCCTTGTTTTCAGAGGGTAAAATAGGTAGAACCTTTCGTTGCTGCTTTCCTTGCAAAATCTGTAGCTCCCTATCTTTAGTCTTAACCTCCTGCTGCAACTCATTCAGTTGAACCTCAAGACTCTGTGCATCATTCTTATACTGCTCTAGTGCCATCTTGCTACTTTTCAGCTCTTTTGTAAGCCTTAAAATTGCTTTTCTGTGCTCAGTTTCAGTTTCTATGACCTTTTTTTCCTCCTCAGCCATTGCCTCTCTGTGAGCAGTCAGCAGGTGTTCTTTTTCAGTTTCAATCTTATGTTGCAACGCATGGATTTGATGCTGATAGTCAGTGTCTGTCTCTGATTTCTGATCTGCTCGAACAGCAGTGCCTGTGGTTAATTCCAGCTGTGAAGTACTATTAGAATTCATGTTACTGGACACTTCATTTTGAAGTTTATGGATGTCCGATAGCTGCTTTAACAGATTATATTCCATGGCTTCTAATTGATTTTCAATCTGCGGGGTTTGTACAAGATGCGGTCATTGTTAATAGGTTTGCAGTATTTTGTAGGATTAATAATCATTTAGTTTACCGTAAAGAATGTGCAGGGAAATAACTATTCGCCTGCGCTTTAGCACTATTATGGGTCGAAATGTAGAGGTGTCTACAGGCATTCTTGTGGTGCTGCTCATTAATATGTTGTTTCAGGTGCCTCTAATTTGGTCTTTGTCTGCTACTGACAGGCAGCAATAGTTAACAATAGCTAAGTGAGGCAATACAGGTGGGTGTGTTATGCCATATACTAAATGAAAAGCACTAAAGTGAAACCCTAGGCACAGCACTAGCAAAAAGCACTGTGAATGGATGAGCTGGGCCATGCCATGTGGTCGCTGTCTATTTCAGTTTCTCAATTTCTGAATCTAAATGGGCTAGTGGCATCACTGACTATCATTTGGAACAATGCTGGACTTAATACTTGTCCCTCCAAAAGCCTGAGTGGAACAAACACTTCAGGTAAGCCATTGCTAATTAGCATATTAGGATAATGGTCGCACTCTGGAAGTGGGTTGTATTATTAGAACTCCTAACATTAAGTAATAGTGGTCACCGCCCACTGGGATATTATACCAGAATACTCGCTTACTTACAGAACTACACAATAGCCAATCGCGCAACAGGCTCATACCCAGCCACTACAGCAGCGGGATCTCTAGTAATGGCTGATAGCAATGTAGTAAGGGGCTGGCATGGTGCCTGTTGTCCGGTATGGGATACTGTGACCTGCACCCTCGCAAAATCATCATAACATGTTTAAAAGTCTAACCCTTCTGATTTTGAAACATAACCATCTGTACCATAAGAATATTGGGGAGCTGAATAAACAGTTTACACAATGATTTTCTGGCCTTATGTGAATGCGAAACTACCACACTTGCCAGCTGACAGTGCTCCCAAAACGTTTTTACAAAGAGTCTTGTATTAGGCGTGATAAAGTTTGGCATGTGTTCTTTACCCCTTCTTTTGTGATGCTGAGTCTCCTCTGCTGCTCTTCAAGGCTTTGGATTTGTTTCTTCAGCTCACTTTGTTTCTGTCTATGTTTAGACAACAGTTGCCTTTTCTCCATATCACCACGATCCTGCTGTTGCTGCAACTGTGCCTCTAAAAGAGAGCAATTATCTTCAACTTCTTGCTTTGTCTGTCGTAATTCTTCCAATTCTGTTTGGAGATTAATAAGAATGAAGCACCGTAATTTTTTTTTGATGTTACCTTTCTCAAGTAATTCTTTAGCATCATCATACTGCATTTCTTCCAGTAGACTAGCAGCTGTAGGCAAATGAGGTAAACGAAGTATTTGGAGATAATTAGGGGGAAAAAGGCCGCCAAACCGTAAAATGAAAATCTACAGGGTTGGACGATGTTACATCGCAAATATTCTTCTGTTTTATGCTTTGTCATCCCATCAATCAGCATATTATATAGTAATCTCTACTTACTTGACTTTGCAAAGAGTCCTTCATCACTGCTACAAGACAACATATCAGATCCTTCTTTTTCAACCTCCGGCCCCAAAATAAGCTCCCCAGCTATCTCCTCTTGCAACCCTCTTTTCCTGTGAGTCAGAGTATCTGCTTCTGGAAAAGTAAGGACAATGGAGATTCTGCTATGTACACTATAGCCGGAAATTCTGGGATTGCAAAAAATAAGAAACTTTAGTGTCTAAATAATGGGGCTCATTGCAT